CATCGTCGTGTCCCTCCACGTGCTTCACGCGGCTCCCGACTTGCATGCATCTCTTGCCTCCCTCAAGACATTGCTGATTCCGGGTGGATCTCTCCTCACCGTCGAACTCGACGGCACGTCCTGGGGTGCTTATCCGGGAAGCGTGTGGATGGACTGCATATTTGGGTGTTTCTCTGAGTGGTTCGGGTACACAGATGGCCGAAACCATTGTACGCTGTCGCCTGCGGCGTGGACGGACCAGCTCGAGGCGTCCGGATTCACAAACGTACAGACCTGCACGGAAAGCAACGGTGGAAGGGACTTTTACTTCGTTGCTCAGAAGCCGGCCGCGCGTCTTCCAGATCCGGAGGTCTCCATCGACTCAGCGGATGTCTATCTCTACGAATTTGGGAAGGAGATTGAGCTGCAAGCGTGGCTCCGAGCATACGATCGTGAGGTTCCGACAACACTCTACCTCGCAGCTGTGCATGGCCGAGACGCAGACGCCGCAGTGGGCTTGTGCGTGATCCTTCGGAAGGAGCTCCCGCTCTGGAGCATCCGTCTGTGCATCATCGAGTCGGGTGCCAATATCGTGCCTGTGCTTGTGAAGAACAAGTGGGTGTTCGAGAGCGGAGAGGATACTATATTCTTCGACCTGGGTGGAGTGCATGTGCCACGCCTGGTGCTGGGGCGCAGCCCACCTACGTCTTCTCCGCAGACTGCGCTCACCGTCCGGGTCAGCCACTGGGCGGGGATGTCCAGCTCGTACGACGGCTTTGTGGGTAATGTGGTGTCCCCCTCTCATCCCAACTTCCCTCGCGACTCTCTCGTTGGCGGCGTAGCAGTCAAGGTTGCGGCTGGCGATGTCACAATATCAGTCGATAATGCTGGTCTGGTTCTCGGTCCCGTGCAGGCGCCCATTCTCGATCTGGCCAAGGATATACTGGGCTCGGTTGTCGCATCTTTCATCGCTGAGGATGGAGCCCGCAGCAAGCGTGTTCTCGTCGCCCTCCGCGATGCCGAGCTCACTTGCGACGTCCAGAAACGTATCCTCGCCGAGATGGCTAGATTCAAGTTGGTCCGCGCAGACTTCACGGACGCCGACTCGTTCCAGTGCGTCGATATTCTCCTGTGTGATTCAGAGACATACAGCAAGAACCCACATCTGCGGCGGTGGGTTGCGCGGGATGGAAAGTTGATTGTCTGGGACACCTTGTTGAAACAGAGCAGACAGCAGGATCCGAGCTTCGTGCAGCGGGCTATAGCGAAGTTGGGCTACGGGCAAATCAACCTCGTACCAATGCTTCCCACGCCGCCGTCCAACCCTCTGCGCTGCGCGTCGCCTCCATTCCGGGGCGATGGTGCATATATCCTGCTCGGCGGTATTGGCGGGCTGGGTGTGGATTTGGCTGTGTGGATGTACCAGGTAAGTTCATTTTCACCTTGCACGAACCCGTCGCATGTATTCTAACAACTTGATTGAAAGCACGGTGCAAAGCATCTCATCCTCACGTCGCGGCGGGGCATCGCTTCCTTGGATCCGGTGGACGACGCCATTACACTCGCAAAGATCGGGTACCTCTCCGGTCTTGAGGATTTGCAGCTTCAGCTCGAAGCGTGCAATGGGACCCGCGCTGACCAGATGGGCGAGCTGGTCCGCCGCCTGTCTAAATCAGCTCCCATTGCCGGCTGCTTCCTCATGGCCCTCGTTCTCTCGGACGCCGCATTCTTCGACCAAACACGCGCGACTCTAGACGCTGTGTACGATTCAAAGGTCAAGATGCTAGAAGTCTTTGCCTCGGAAGTTGATATTACCTTGCTCGATTTCTTTGTCGCACTGTCGTCGATCAGCGGGCTTGTTGGGATCGCAGGGCAGGCGAATTATGCTAGGTGCGTTTTCTGTTTTTTCTTTGTTTGGGTTGTTTTCGTCCTGGCTAAAGGTGGATTCAACGCAGCGCCTGTACGACTGTCGACGGGATTCTGGCTGGGTACAAGAATGCATTTTCGTTGATTACCCCGGGGATCTCCGATGTTGGTTTTCTGGTGCGTCGTGTCACTTGGCAACAAAGTCAATAACTGAGCGCCCTCAACTCTAGGATCGTGCGAGCTCCAAACACATTGCTCGGAAAGATCGGTTCGGAAGCATAACTGCGGAGAGTGCGAAATTTATTACTTCCCTTGAACATCAAACTAATACAACGCAGCCCTGTGGACATACCTGGAAGACGGTCTTCGAAAGCTAGACGACGCGCCATTCAACCAGTACATTCCCGACCTCGACTGGGACTCGCTCGAGACACATCTCACTTTACCGGGCACTTGCCGTCATCTTATGTCGCCCATCCAAAGACGCGGGAGTGATTTCATCGTCGCTGGAGGGGGGATCGCACAGGAACAAGCAGGGCCGAATATCCTCCGCCATTTTTTGGAGCTTTTAGAGGTTCCCGCGGAGGAATTCGACGCCGACCAGCCGCTGAGCGTGTACGGCTTGGATTCCATCACCGCCGCGAAGGTGGCCGCTGAGCTGCGCCCGTATGCCGCGGTATCGCAGATGCAGCTGCTGGGTGGGGCCACCTGGTCGGACGTGCTCGCAATCATCAAGGCAACCGCAGAGACGAGCCCATCTATGAACGCGATCCTATTCGAAACTTTGGGCGTCCCGGCTGAAGAATTCTCGGCGGATCTTCCGCTTGCCTCTTACGGACTGGATTCACTGGGTGCTTCGAGGCTGGCGACGGCGCTGCAGCCCTTTATTGTCGTTACGCAGATGCAGCTCATGGGACAGTCGTCGTGGAACGACATACTGCGCTCGGGTGAGCGACCGATGCAGGCTACGAGCAGCGGTGGGTCGGCGGCGGAGTGCATTGTAGAAATTTGCGGTGGGGACGGTACTCCGCTGATCATTCTCCCCGGCGCGAACGGCTCCGCGGCGCTTTTCTTCGGGCTGCGGGACACACTCCAAGGGCCGCTATGGGCCATCCAGATCACTGACGCGACTCCCCTCGAGTCCATGACAACCCTCGTTGCCTACTGGAAGACGCAAATCTGCGCGAAGAGGCCCAGCGGGCCATACCGCTTCGCTGCGTATTCGGCGTCCGTCGTCCCCAGCGTTGCACTCGTCAAGCTGTTCGAGGACGCAGGGGAGGAGGTGCTGCAGCTCACCTTCATCGACAACGCGCCTACCGTGTGGATCCACGAAGCGTGCGAGGCGCTGTTGCGGAAACAGTCCGCGGCGGACTTCCGCACCCTCTCTGACGAGCTGGTGCTGGATATGCTCAAGAACGATCCCTCCACGAGCCCTGCCGCCCTAACGACGTACGAGGCCGCAATCGCGGATCGCACGTACACCCCATTTGGCGCACGCACCGAGCTCACCATCTCGCGCGTTATTCTGACGCTGACGTTCGAGTTCCTGGAAGGCTTTTACCCAGCGGCGGACGAGCGGTCGTACGCCGCTTTTATTAGGCCATTCGAGGAGTGGCTGCGCTCTCTCAAGTCTCCGCTCGCCGTGATCCTCGCCGAGTTTGGGATGCTCCTCTCGACTCCGTGTCGCGGGTGGCCGGATCTCGGGGCCAGTCGATTCCCCGGGCCCCGTCCAGTGAAAGCGAACCTAATCCCGGCGGTCGGGCATTATAGTTTGTTCAGGCACGAGACGGTGGCGAGGTTGCTGGGTGAATATTAATCGCAGCGATCATGAGTTACCACTTTCATGTATTTGTTCTCTGAATGTCCCAGCGGAAGTCGTCTACTAGTATACTGTATTTGTCCTATGTGCGCAAATCGACGTGACCTCTTTGATTCCTATTGGAATTTGAGGAATCGGAAGCGGAAGGAGGGGGTAGTAGCTTGTTTTCGAACTTCAAGGCTCGTTTCCGATTGGTAAAGTAGTCCACGGATTCTGAGTCCCGAATCGTACTCGGTCTTTCATGATGTAACGCACGCCAGCGGTTCCATGTATATTCCATGAAGCTGACGAAACACAGACGCGACCTGCCTCGGGCGGCGTTGAACATAACAGAGAATTCAACCATAGGCACGTGATCAGTGTTCAACTTTGTCAAACTGAAATTGAAACGGGAATCCTATGTCTCGCAAAGTAAAACAAAGCCATTAATCCACCTCATCGTGTCTTGATTCAAGTATCTCTCATACGCGTACTTATGCTGGAGTCTGACTGACTGGCAAATTTCCCACCCAAGGCCGGGCATCGGACATCGGGGTGGATTTGGCGAAGGTGAAGGAAGCCGCTTCGGAAATATACAACCTGGCCCCGGGTGACCACGGTCATACACAGATCTCGCCCAATTTGATGTCTGAACTTGAATCATCTTTCTTCACCCGAATTATTCGTGTACATGTTACATGTATAAGGATTACACCCGGAAATTCATTCGCTTTCCGCGTAAGAGGAGGGAACAGATTCAACAGGAAAAAACGAGCAGTATAGTAGTTATACACTGCACGTTGTCCAGAATGCATACGTACATACACCGAAAAGTTAAGATATTTTAATTTATAATAAGTGCGGAATGATGTGCCGGGATTCTGTTGGGGTTCCGCCTCCCTAGCATGGAATACAGACTCCAATTGTGCCTGGAATAAGTACATGCTGAGCTTGCTGAGAAATGCTTGGCCAGTTGGCGTTCAAATCCGAATCGAAAAGTGAGGTTGAACCAAGGACACGTGATCTATGTTCAACCTCATTTTTACTCTGTTTAATTCATGCCGATTCGAGGGTAGCTGGGGAAAGGATTGACTCAGAGGAAAATGTGCAGAGAAAGAAAAGAGAGATGCAGGAGAAGATATAAGAAAAGGAAAAAGTTGCATCTATTTTTTGTCATGGCCCAGCCCCAAATCGAACAGGGTGTTTCCTCTGAAACTGGAATATCAATACGTGAAGTGAAGAAGATGTGTTACCACTACACCACTGGGCCTTCCTCTACATTCTTCACTGGGAGCTGAGAGGGATGTTTATTTCGAGCACCAAAAGAGAAAAAAGTTTTAATAAAGTACGCATATTATGACCCAGCCCCAAATTGAACGGGGTGCTTCCTCTGAATCAGTTCCTTGATAATGACAAATCAAGAGGATGCGTTACCAGTACACCACTGGGCCTCCCTTTACAAATCCAGAGTCTGGAGTCGAGTCTAGTAAGTAGAGGAGTTGTGTGATATGTAAAGGGAAAAAGAAAGGAGAAGAGTATAGCCCAGCCCCGAATCGAACAGGGTACTTCCTCTGAATAGGCGCCTTCCATATGAACTAAATGAAGAGGACATGTTACCACTACACCACTGGGCCTTCCTCTCTTTTCCTCGGCTTCAGACAGGTCTGTCGTGCAGGAATTTGAGTTTGAATTTCATTTGGAGGAAAAAAATTACTGAGAGCTTCAATAGCCCAGCCCCGAATTGAACAGGGTGCATCCTCTGACCTCAGATGGATCACCTATAATTAAAGAGGATGTGTTACCAGTACACCACTGGGCCATCCTATACCTCCAGCATCCGGAGTTGAGTCTAAGTAGAGGAGTTGTGTGATATATGTGAGGGACAAAAAAGACATTGATGCTGCTTAGTGGCCTGGCCCCAAATTGAACGAGGGAGGAGGAGGAGGAGGAGGATGTATTACCGCGGTGGTCCCATTGAGGAACATACGGTTACCGTTAACTCCTTTGTACTGAAAAAAACATACTAAACTAAATGTAAAGAGTGTGTCACCACTACACCACCAGGCCATGATGGGCCTTTGGTGAAGGAGCATCATGGAGGATAAGACTCAGGGTGGACCGTGGCCTCGTGGACGTACACGGACGAATAACCTAGAATACTTCTGCTGGTTGCATGGCGTTCGAATTGGGATTTGGCTCAGGCGCAGATCTGGCGGGAGGATGGTTGGCGAACAGGAAGTGTCAAGTCAACGCCGAAGGCTAGCAAGAGAATCACGAACGCCGAACAACGCCGATCCGATGATGATCGCCGGTTTCTTTCCCCCAACTTTCAACTTCAAGTTTACATGCTCCCGATAAGCTCCCCCCGCTCGCGTGGCCCGTCGCCGGGGCACGGACTGGCTGTCCGACTTCGCAGAGAGCAAGGGATTGCTGTCGCGGAATCAGTTTGGAGGACGCCCGGGACGGAACACTGTCGATGCGATCTTGCTACTCACCCAGAAGATCAAGGATGCGTGGAGAGTTGGGAAGGTGGCGAGCGCGCTGCTGATGGACATCTCGCAAGCGTTCCCATCGGTGAGCCACACCCACCTCGTCCACGTCCTCCGGGAAAAAGCCGTCCCAGACCAGATCATTGGGTACATTAGCAGCTTTCTCAGCAATCGCCGCACCACACTCACCTTCGACGACCACATCTCCCCTCCCTGCCCCGTCCCCAACGGCCTCCCCCAAGGTTCGCCACTCAGCGCCCTCCTCTACCTCCTCTATGCCGACGAACTCCTCCGCAACCCCGACGGAAACTCCATTGGATACATCGACGACACCACTCGCCTGGAAGTCTCGTATTCCGTCGAGGACAATGTTGAGCGACTCCACGAGTTCATGACCGAGGAGGCTGCCCCCTGTGCGGCGCGCAAAGGGCTCAAATTTGACCTGTCGAAGTTCCAACTCGTCCACTTCGTACCGCCGCGGCGGCACTCCGAGCATTACCGCCCTGTTCCACTTTCGTTCGCGGGGATCACGATCGAGGCGTCGGACAGCGCGAAGTTGCTCGGGGTCATCCTCGACCACAAGCTTAATTTCCGCAAGCATGTCGAACTCGCCCAGAGCCGGGGTACCAAGGCCGTCCTTGCCCTCTCCCGCATCTCCTCCCCTACGTTCGGCCTCCCGCACGCGTACACCAAGCAGCTCTTCCAGTCAATCGTTGTACCCCGCATGGAGTACGCCCTCCCCGTATGGTACAAGCCTGTGTCGTCGAATGACAATGCACGCCGATCGGGCACGGTCTGGGTGGCGAAGGCGCTGGGCAAAGTACAACGGCAAGCCTGCAAGATGATCACTGGTGCACTCCGTACCACGGCGACGGACACCCTCGATTATCACGCCAATATCCTCCCCACCCACATCCGGCTAAATCGCACCGCGTACAACTCCATGGCACGGCTCGCCTCCCTTCCCCCCTCCAACCCCATCCACCACATAGTCCGACGTTGCCGCCGCATCCCCCGCTACCATCGTTCCCAAATCCACCACCTCCTCGCAGCATTCCCCATCTTCAAGAAGGACTTCGAGGTTGTCGACCCGCATCGCCCGTTCGAACCGCTGCCTCCGGGCCTGCTCTCAACGAGTATCGCGCAGACAAAAGAGAGGGCGAGGAAGGCGATGGAGGAGATTGTGGCGAGGGGCGGGATGTGTGTGTTCACGGACGGGTCGGGGTTTGAAGGAGGAGTTGGCACTGCCGCGGTAGCGATGAAAGGCGGAGAGCAGGGGGAGCAGAGGACGCTGCACCTAGGAACGCAGGAAGAACACACCGTCTTCGAGGCGGAAGTCACCGGCGCCATCCTGGCACTCGACATCATCAAGGCCACGCCGAGACTCACTAGCGTCGACATCTTCATGGATTGCCAGCCCGCGATCGCTGCCATAGCCACGCCCCAGACACAGCCTGGTCAATACCTCCTCGCTGCGTTCCACTCCACCCTCCGCCGCCTCCAACGTGCCCGCTCCACACTCCACATCCGCATCCATTGGGTTCCGGCCCATGTAGGCATTGTGGGGAACGAGGCAGTAGACGAGCGCGCGAAGGACGCGGCCCGAGGAGCCTCCTCCCCCCTCACCTCGCGCATCCGGGCACTCGATTCCCCACTCCCACAAAGCAAGGCGGCAGCCATTGCAGCAGGCGCACACGCATTCCGCGCGCGCTGGCTAGCTGAGTGGTCCACCTCCTCGCGCTTCCGCCGCCTTGCCCTCTTTGACGACCCCAAACCCTCCAATGCAGTCGCGCGCATGTACACCGACTTGAGCCGCCCACAATGCAGCGTCTTGACGCAGCTGCGCACGGCGCACATCGGCCTCAATGCGTTCCTCTTCCGCTTTCATCTTGCTCCCTCCCCTGACTGCGCTCTCTGTCTCGTCCCAGAGACCGTGCCCCATTACCTCCTCTCCTGCCCCCTCTACCGTCGCCAGCGCACCGCCCTCATCCTCCGCATCGGGACGGCGCGACTCTCACTCCGTCGACTCCTTGCGTCCAAGGCGGACCACGGACCGGTTCTTGCATTCGTCCGAGACACGGGCCGTCTCCCCAGATACCGCCTTCGAGTTCTCTTTTCTCCTTTTCACATATACACGACTCTTATAGTACATAGCTTGACACGACTTTACACCCTGCCTTGATTATACATCCACCCCCATACTCACAGCACCTTCCGAAGCAGCCAGACCCTACATACGCATCACCCGCACCTCCTCCCACCCTCCATGCCCGCTAGTTCACCAACCTTGTAATTAGTATAGTGCCACATGGGCCCCCAGGGGCCCGCGCGCACTCAAATGGAAATTTGATTGATTGAAGGTCCGCTTTACTTCGGGTTTCTCCGTAACCCCTTGCCGCCGCTGCCGCCGTGACGGCGCCGTCCCGATCACGCCGCCATTCCCATTTCCCAAATGCTCTCAAAAAAACTGCTGGATAGAGGAATGGCCCAGCCCTGAATTGAACAGGGTGCTTCCTCTGACGGACATTCCAAATCAAGAGGATGTGTTACCAGTACACCACTGGGCCTTCTTCCCTCAATGCCAGAGTCCGGAGTCGAGTCTAAGGACAGGAGTTGTGATACTCAAAAAAAGTGCAAGACATGACCTGGCCTCGATTCGAACGAGGGTATCCCCCTTATACTAAACAACCTCTACAACATATGGAAGGAGCATGTTACCGCTACACCACCAGGCCATAACAGGCTCTCGGTGAAGGAGCTTCCAGCTTGAATTCTTGAACTTCGAGTCACATGTAATCGCGCAGGTAGTGGTTGGCGGACAGGAGGTGTGCCGAACAACGCCGATCCGACTCCTCTTTCCTCCAACAACTACATGCTCCCGATAAGCTCCCCCCGCTCGCGTGGCCCGTTGCCCGGCCGCTCCCCGTCCCACGCCGCCGCCCTCTCCGGCACCGCGTCCTTCTCCCCCGCGCCCTCGACGGACCCCACCGACGAGCACACCGCGCACCCCGTCCTCCACCCCGGTCGCGTCGCCGTCGTCACGTTCCCGTGAGTACTCTCTTTCCTCGCTACCTGCCGCGTCGTATCGGCGGATTCGATCTCACGATAGCGGGCGTACTGGGTCCTGGCCCGCGTCCGGGCACGCATCGCTCGAGTGGCTGACGCGCCCTCTCTGCCTCCGCGGAAACGGCGGCCCACTCGCGGCAGAGTTGCTCGGTATCTCCACGCCTACGGCCTTGTGCGGTTTTGCGTGCGCGCTTCTTTCTCGCCCAAGTTGGCGGGCTGGCTGGCGTCCCGTCTACGCAACGGAGGCGCGCGAGGTGGCTGACGCCCAACACCACCCTCCCCGCGCTCCGAGTCCGCGAAGTTGTGGGCCCGCTGGCTGCGTCTAGATCCGCGGGGTGCACGGCTTTCACTGGGTGCGGAAGGTACAGGTGGCTGATGTGCCGCTGCTGGGCTCTGCAGCTGACAGTTCTCTGCGGCTGATTCCCATCTTCGAAGCCTTGCGGTTGCGTCCTGTGTCTGTACGAGTGGTCCAGCGAGCCGACTGCTGTCAGCCTCGCCTCGCATGGCGGCGGAGCCGCTTGTCGATGCAGTCGCGGCGCGAGCCTCCTCCTCCTCGGCGCGCTGTTCCCTTCCCTCGCTAGCTAGCTTGGCGGGTATGGGTATCGCGTCTACCTCCGCCTCTTTCCCTCCTCCCCCTCTTTCTCTCACCTCCCTCCCCCTTCCGTCCAACGCGAACGCTAACTCCCCAGAAAAAAGCAATGCTCCACGAGAAGAACCCCGCGATGGTAATCAACACGGGGAGCAAACAGGGGATCACGAAATCGCCGTGCGTGCTCTTTTTTCTTTTCATCCTTTCTTCCTCTAAGTTTTACACCCTCTTCCCTCCACCCTACCCTACCCCTTGTTTTTCGCCTCGCGTTTGAGGCATAGAACGCGGGCACGCAACAACGCGCGTTTTCTCCTCTTTTCTTCTCTACCCACGTCCCGTACCAATCGCAACTATTTAACCCCTCCCTCCCTCCTCCCTCGCGGTCCATCCATCCGTCCCCTCCCTCTCTTCTCTACACATCTCCCCCCCCCCCCCGGCCGTCGATTCCGCCCGCGCATCCGAGTCCGAGTCCGGCGTCGTCCTCTCCCCCGGTTCATATACATTCCCTAATCCCCGCCTCCCCGTCTTCCTCCAATTTCCCGCATCCTACTCCCCGCCCCCTCCTCCCCTCCGTCGTCCCGCATGCGATCCCGCTCTCCGTTCGCCCCTGCCCGCTCTTCCTCCGGCGTCCAATCTTGCCCGTGCCCGTCGTGCGCACGCACCCCATCCACATCCTGCACCCATACCGGTCCCGCTCCCGTCGCCCACCTCCCCAGAGTTTCGCGCCGGATTGCGTGCGCATCAGCGTCGTCCTACTCCCTCACGTCTGCGCTCCCCTCCCCGTCCCTCCACGCTTTCGCCTCCTTCCTCCTTCCTCCATCCTCCCTCGTCCACCCCTCCTCCCTCGATCCCCTGCACCCCCGCCGCCACCGCCGCCGCGTTCATCCATCCCTCGTTCCCTCGCTCCCCCTTCCTTCATGTTCCTTCTCCTCTATCCCCTTCCTCACCTCGTTTCCCTTCATCCGTCCACGAGCGCGATGTATATATCATCCCTTCGATTCCCCGCGCCCGTGGTCCCTCCGTCCCCGCATCCGCGCCTTCCCGATTCTCTATCCCTTTCCCGCGTCCCGCGTTCGATCTTGATCTTGGGCCCCTGCCTCCGATTGTCACCCGCACCCCCGCACCGCACCTCCTCGCCTTCCCCGCATGCTCCACCGCCCGCCGTCCCCCTTTCGCCTCCCTTCTCACCACTTCTTCCACACGTATTGGTCCCTCGCCCCCTCGCCCCTGCCCGCTATCGCCTTTCCGGCTTCCCCACCGCCGCCGCCATCCATCCATCCCTTACTCCCTCGCGATTATAATAGGCTCGGAGAACCTTCTTTCATTTTTCGTTCCCTCCCTCTCCCTCTCCCTTCTTCTCTCCTTCTTTCGTCTTTCTCCTACTCTTCCCACCCCTTCCGGCGCCCCTCCCCACCCGTTCTCGCCTTACTTCCCTGCTTCCTCCATATGCACCGGTCCTTCGCCCCTCGCCCCTGCCCGCCGTCGCCGTTCCGGCTTTCCGTCCTTCCGTCCTCCCCCCCCTCCATTTCTCGTTTCTCGTTTTCGTCACGGTCTTCCCCTCCTTCCTCCTTCTTTTCCTCTCTCCCCGTCCTTCTTTCGCCTCCTCGCGCTCCCACTTACTTCCCCGCTTCCTCCATACGTGTGTACCGCTCTCCTCCCGATTGGCGTTCCGCCACCGCCGCCACGAGTTCCCAAAGTAGTAACTTAACTTAGCTGCCATCAAACAAGATGGGCACACAAAAATTGACGTACTGCCAATATATTTGGAAACAGTTGTAATCGCGATGTAATCGTGTGCAACCGATGTGCCTGCAAACACTTCGAAGATCCATCAACGCGACACGCAAGTAGAAGATTCAATTCCTACCGGCGTCGAACACGGTCCAAGATATAAGTATCGTATTATATCTCCAGGGCATCGTCTTTATCTATCGGTCTTTATTCGTCAGTAAAGTTGGCTTTGCCGATCTCGCGCGTTTTCAAACCTTCCCAGGTACTCCCACCTTCTGAAAACATATTTTTCTCTCATGGGCACGGTCAGAAAACATCTTATTCCGTTGGCACAGTGACATCGAATTCCGGGCTTATGCGCCCACGGTTCGCTGTTTTCTCTACCTGATTAATGGAAAACGCCGATATGTAAGTACCGGTCTTTGCCTTACTAAGTAAGGCCAGTGGAATCATCCGAGCCCGTCGTTGGCCGCGTTCGCGATGCTGCTGTGTTCTCGCTGCCCAACTTGGGTTCCAAACTCGTTAAATTTAGGCGGGCTGACTATGTGCCTAAATTTACTCTAGTCCTGATGTGGTTACGGTAGAGTCACCCGCTAGCAGACTCGCGAACTTTCCTCTGATGATTAACCTCAACGGTAGGGTCTTCGATGGGGCAAGAGTCATGGATTCGGGGCTTGATAGCTATCGCAGCTGACAACAGGACGATATATGGGATCAAATGTTCGAAATGCTTTATAATTCGAGTCTGACTGAGCATTACAGATCAATTTGAAGAGACCGGGCCCCGTGCGGCCGGCATTCTGGGTTGAGAAAATATAAAAGCCATTGACACTCAAGGTGGAAAGCAGCTCCAACTTTCTTCACATCGACCCCCACAACTACATCTTCCACAAACGAAATGTCTGGAAAAATTGTCTACCTCAGTTCGCTTTCAAGCCATCATCTATCGTTTCAACATTGATTGTTTGACCTGTCTAGTTTCCGGCGCCAACCGCGGAATTGGCTATGCTCTCGCAGCGGTACTCGCCGCCCGTCCCAACACCATCGTGTTCGCTGGCGCGCGTGACCCCGCCGCCCAATCGTTGAAGGACCTCGCCGCGCAGCACCCCAACGTGCATGCGGTGAAACTCACGTCTGGGGACAAAGCCGACAACGAAGCGGCCGTTGCCAAGATCCAGAACACTGCAGGGCAACTCGACGTTATCATCGCAAACGCAGGTAAGCGCTTGGGACACCTTTGTTCAATCAATATTAATCGTGTATCTAAGGTATATCTAACTACTACGGCCCACTCGCAACGACACCCATCTCCGAGTTCCGTGACCACTGGGATGTAAACACGCTGGGCCCCGTAGTGCTCTTCCAAGCCGCGCACACCCTCCTCCTCGCCTCCCCTTCTGGTGCCCCCGTCTTCGCCGTCATTTCCAGCGTGGTCGGCTCAATCGGGGGATACTTCCCGCTGCCCGCCGCTGCATACGGCTCCTCCAAGGCCGCGATCAACTTTCTCGTCAAGGTTCTCGACTACGAGCACAAGCCGCTCGTATCGCTTGCGATCCACCCCGGCTGGGTCGCCACCGAGATGGGGAACCATGGGGCCGTCTCCAACGGTCTCCCGCAGGCGCCTGTCTCCATAGATGACTCGGTTGCAGGGATTCTGTCGCGCATTGATGGGGCGACAAAGGATAAAAGTAGTGGAAGGTTCTGGAATTTCAAGGCCACAAGGGGAAATCCATGGGACATCGATTCCGAGGAGATAACCTGGTAAACACAGTAGTCTGTACATTATGATAGTGTGTGAAGCCCATTTCAACTGTGTCCAATCGCTCAGTGCTACGATCTCCTCAGAGTTCTGGTACGTCCGACGGCAATAATTAGTCCCGAACTCGGTCATCTCAGCTACTGTATATAAAGATCTCAAACCGAAATGGACCCAAAATTTTAAATCAAACACTGGCAGCCTAGAATTGAGAAACAGTGGTCCAGGCACCCGGTCGAGGAATTACGATTGATCATGTCTGCGAATTGATTGGTTATCGTCCCTCCCTTTTAATGGACCAGCTTTTGCGTTTTCAAGTGACCAACTTGAACAGATTTCGAAGTTGAACATGATCACGTGCCGGTTGAATTCTCGAGGAGGTACAGCTTTCGACTTGGTATGTGTCCTCACTGCCTCCGAGGAGC